TTTTTTAATTCACACCGGCATATTGGTTAGCTGATAAATGGAGTGTTTGTAGAATCCACAAGCACCGCTCTTCATCTCAAATGTTTTCTCACAGTGACATTTGCAGGAACTCTCTTTTGTATCATTGCCCAGAATTTACCTTTGAATCAATATTCATGTCATGAGTTTAATGTGCGCAGCTCATTGTCTCATTGTCTTTAGATCGTAAAAATGTGTGCTCTGCTGTATAATGGGTGTTGAACAGTATCACCGTATCTTTTGTCCACACTTTGACCTCCAGCAATGATTTTTCCATTGAGCAATAATGTACTCACTAGCTTCAGTGACGTTTTCCCGCCTATGTGAGCAATTTTTTTTCCAGATCTCTTCAGTAGAAAACGATTGTCAAGAAGTTAAAATAAGAACGGCTGTGATATTGTTTTCACGTAACCTCTTCGTGTTCACGCACGCTGTGATTTATCGGGCAGAACGCACAACTCCTTGCGAGCGGAACATTTATAAGCCAGCGATCAAGTGCCTTGTAGTTGCAGTTTTTAAGTCAGAGTTGACTGTGGCGTGCTCGGCCACTGGATCTCAGACCGATGAGAGGAAAGGCCTGTCACATCCTCGCTTGACAAACGCACAGATTTATGTAACCCGCCTTGTCAGGCTTTTTCTGGTGCAACAAATGCATTTCCAAAGAAAACTATGGAAATAGATCACCGCGAGGAGTCAGCGATTGAAAATTGAAAGCTTGACTATTTGTCCTCCTGTCTCTGATGCGTACGCTGGACTAACTAACTGATCAAACGCTGCCTCTAATCCGTCTGAGTTTGTTAGGTTAATCACTTTATGACACACAACTATACAGAGAACATTTAAGAGTGCTTGCTGTGAGCAGAGTGCAATATTTTAATCCCGAGCTTTCAACCCAGCGCGCTCTCATATATGTAGCTTTGATTTGTTTGGAGCTGGCCTTGCTGCGTGCGCGCCGTTTGCTGCAGCCGCTAACCTCTTTCTGTCAGCACCAGCCTGAAGAGATTAGCTGTATGAGTGTCTCTTGTTCCCCAATGGAGGCAGGCCCCAGTCCATCTCAGTCCGCGGCTCTGGTCCCAGCCAAGAGGATGAGGGGAAGGCTGAGTGTTGGATGAAGGTCGGGGAGGGGAGGGAGGGGGGGTTGAAGTCATACAAAACTGTGGCCATGATTGCGGTAATCCTGTTATCTCTCCTGCTAAAGCTGGCCACTCCGGTGACCCAGAGACACAAATGTTAAGCCGCCTGTGTCTCGCTTCTCTTTTCACTCCATCTCCCTCCTTAGCCAACCTCGTTGAATGTCAGGGGGTGGTCTCGCCTCTGTCGGACTCGAAAATTTGCAGTCCTCACACCCGGCCCGGCCCTATCTCCGATTCCGTCAGAACAAAAGGAGAGGTCCTCCTGCAGTATATGAACTTGCTGCCCGTCTCATGCATCTTAATGTTGCCACATTTGTACAGGGGTCAGGGTGACTCAACCGAACCCGCCCGCCTTATCTTCAGCAAACGGGAGCTCTAGTTGGCTCTGCCTTGGTGATTAATGCGTGATTTGATAAACTAATTAAAAAGCTCGCATTGTTTTCTCCCCTGTAGAATGAGCTAATAATTTGGTCAAATTTAGCTTCTCATTTATTAGCTCACTCACACTGTCATTTGTTAACAGGATAATGGGGCGTAAAGAGGGCCATTATTCTCTCGGTCCAGAGCATATGCACACAACATACGAGCCCAGCAGGGTTGTTTTAAGCCAAGGACACAGTCGCACATACGAAAGGGGGACTGTGTTGTCCTTCAATAAGATCAGGGTTCAGAGTGTCGTGTTGCGGGCCTTGTTTGATCGTAATCCTGCTGCATCAGCCGTGCACCTGACACACACTGGTCGACAGGTGAGTTAGTATGCATCCTGTTAGCAAGATGTTGATAACGGCCTCATTGGCATTCCGTTGCCATGCTTCTCTTGCTAACAGGCCGATAGATCCCCTGCTATAGGCCAAAGACCTGATCAAAAGTCCGCCGGCTGTTATTTGCAATGCTAATTCCGCTCAACAAATAATAGTGCTTAAGAAGTGTAGTTGAATAGACATCTCTTGAAGCCCTTATAATGTGCCTTTTGTTTTGCTAAGGCGCCTAAACAGCAGAGGGTCTTTAATTCTTTGGAGGATGGTCTGTGCCCCCCGCTATATGAAGCCATAAGACCACTGAGTAATCGTTTGGCACCCTCGGTTTCTGCGTCATCATGAGCCACTTTCAGTACAGTCCCATCTAAAGACGCAGCTAGTCACGCCCGTAATGAAGTACGTACTAGATATATTGTTGCTGGTATCCAGGTGGAGATCCTCGGGGGCCGGGGAATACAATCCGCCTTTAACAAGGCGATTGAGTACAAGGCAAACAGCAAAATTAGAAATGCACAAAGCAAACATGAAAATTCCCCACTCGGTCCGAGCTGAGAAGCGCTTATTCAGGGAGAGCATGCATGCAATCACCAAAGCAGGTTCAGAAAATATAATTAACGGCTTCCTTATTATGATTGGAATGAGGCCAGTTCAATCTGGGGAGAGAGGGCAGCAAACTCAATCGGGGTTGTTCAGAGACAAACGAACACCGTTCCCCACTTGAATGATGTCTTTCCTGACATCACAGCATTGGGCAACTCAAGGTACGTACTACAGCTGAACGATGAGGACAAATGATCTAATTGCGATTTTTTTTTTTCCTCGATATTGCAATGGCCATTTAATATGCAGTTTTTTTTAAAAAAATTCCAGAGCCTCTCCATGGATTTCTTCTTTACCAAACACAAGCAATAAATGAATCCGTATGATAATAAACCATCAGATGTATTATTCATCAATGGTTTAGCCTCGGGTTAGTTTTGTGCTAGAATAAAGGTAAATGAAGTTTTTCTCCACTTCAATTAGAGTTCTTTACTTACCCAACACTTTGACTTGCAGTCTTTTAAGTGTTCACTACTGCAACTCCACAAAATTGTAGCCAAACACGTTTGGCGGAAACATAAGTCACTGAGTCATAAAGTAGATCAAAAAAAATAATGCAAACAATTCCGTGGCTTTATCACTTCAGCATCTAAGGGTAAACGTGGGCACTACACATCTTAAGCATGGAACTTATCTCAACAGCCATTGTATAAATAAATTAAGTATGAAATGTAGATAGATGGATAGATAGATAGATAGATAAATAGACATAATAAAGATTACCAATTTTTTCTTCTTCCAAAATTACATTCTGCTACATTGAATTTGATTAATTATTCAGCTCTTGGAAATGACAGGATGTCCACACACATTCCTCTTTATGTGTTTTGTTTTTTTTTTCTGGCTCAAATTGAGGCAGAGCTGGGACTATGCTCATCATTCAGGTGTGTATGTTGTACCCCCCACTTGTTTTTCGAAAGTCTTAAAACATCTTGAAACTTTGCCATGGAAAAAGTGCTCACTTTCATTATGAGACATCGCTGAAATGTGAACGACACCGATGTGACACTTGTTGAAGCTGTTTTTTACCTGCCAAAACAGATTTTCTTGGCTACAATGAGGTGGGGGCGGGGGCAGGGACGGGGGTCCTAACAATAGTTATACAATAACTGCAGTTGAAAATAACCCAACACTCATAAGACAGCAGATGTCGTGTTGTCAGAGCTTTCAGAGCCAGAGGTGACTCGAAATTCGGTGGATGTGAGCACCTCCAAATTTTATACACAGGATAAAACCCTTTCAACGTTATACAGTCGTCTCCACAACATAGGTTCTGCCTGCACACTCATAATAACAAGGGGTTCATCCAACAAAAGTCTGCACAGTTTGAGTGTTAATCAAACAGTTTATTGTTTGTAGTGACTGTGGCGGATTGTGTCATACAGACATACAGCGGGGTAAATATTTTTATTTAGCTGCATGAGATAGGCCACGTGCTTATGTCTTGTCATTTATTTGGCAAATGGGTCGTTTTTCCTGTTGTTTTCTGTTCACGTGTACCTAATTGTGTTGTGGCTTGGCAGTGGTTGTCTTTCACATTTGTCCTCTGCTGCCAGACACTGAGACCAATTAAAAAATGCATAATTTCAGAGTTCTGCTCACTTTTCATAATAGGATCCATTGACGTCATCTACAAAGTATTGGATGCGCCAAAGCTTCTGGCTTTGACGAATGAGTCGTAAAGGTCGCAAATTTCATCACCCCGTTGCAGAGGATCATTCGGATGGCCAAAGGGGGAAAAAAAAAAAATCCCTGAAGAAGCCCCGCGGCGATGAAAATATTCAGGATGTCTTTACAAATCTCTCCTGGCACGCAAACAAAAAGGATATTAAGATGATTCGCCATGCGGGAACAATGAGCAATTGACTAATGGCTTGTACGCTTCCTTCATCACAACCCAGGTAGCTCGTTGTCCTGCAAAGCTGCGCTGTGTGCATGCTAATGCTGGAAGCTGAAAACATCCTCCGCACACATATCGTATGCATATACTGAGGTGTGTTGGGGGAGGGCGGGGGGCAGGGGGGAGGTTCAACCTTGTGGTGACATTAAAGCTTTGTGGAGACAAGTGGGTGTTGCCTGCTGTGGCTGCATGCAGAGCTGCGATCTTCCACTTCTGGGATGCGCTTTGCTCGTGCTCGGCTCTGTGGGAATAAGGAGAAGACACAGGATGTACAGGATCTGCTAAATTATGTAGGCCTTCGTCAATAAGTATGATGTGATGCAAAATCTCGATGCACACGTTGAAAGCTTGTTTTCATCACCCACTGATTGGGCAGCTGTGGCCTTACGGCAGATCTGCGTCAACGTACTTGACCAAGTTTGGATGTGTTTAAATCCTGTGGGGTGGGGAAATCTTTTTATTTTAATAAGAGGGTCACGCTTTCATTCACATCGCCTGGGTGGTCTCGAACATATCCCCCAGCGATGAATGAGGATTCACTGTATTCCTCTGTGTTCATGAAAATGTTTCCGCTCATCTTTGCCCCATCAGGAGGTGATGCAGATGGAGAGACAGCTGGGTGGTCGGCTGATTGACGAGCCTCACATGCTGCTCTTCAAAGACAGCTACCACAACCTGCGCCTGTCCATCCATGACATGCCCCAGGCCCACTGGAGGAGCAAGTTGCTCGCCGGCTACCAGGTGGGTATCACAGTGGCCCAGTGGGGCAGAGGGGAGGTGTGGGAGGAGGAGGGGGGTGATCGGGGGGAGGTTGGTGGGGGCTCAGCTTCCCAGCACAAGCAAGGAAGGGGATCGCTTGGTTCTTTCAAGGTTGTCTCCTAAATAGTGTTTCTTTTTTTTGGACCTGTTTGTACAGAAATGAAAAACAACAAAAGCTCATCAGAGCCCTCTTGTAATCGTGAACGAGGGCTCATGGTCGACTTGTCTGTCTGGACTTAAACGTGAACAAAACAAAAATAGTGTCAAGCAAGATCCCTGCAACACATTTTAATGGTCAGTTTGGAGGCTGAAATTTGAGCTCCTGTTGGATTCAATGACTTGTACTAAGATCATATTCTGAAAATAATCACCTTAAATCTCCTCTGAATGATTATTCTCTCTCGCGGCGCAGAGGGATAGTCGTTAGCATACTCTAATAATCTGCCTTACAGTTCTGACTTTGAGGGTTCCAACTAGAGTTGGGACTTGCGCCCAAAATTCGCCTTTGCTATTCATTTGCTGTCTAATCAGCGAGTTCCGAAAAGTCTACTTTGGACCAAAAACACGTCCCAAAAATTACAAATCCAATGTGATTATAATGATAAATGGAGTGCGCTTACATCGCGCCTTATATTTACATGTGAAGGGAAGAAGGTGATGGCGTTGGAGGTCGGCAAAGAGGTAAGACAGCGGTTGTTGACGTTGTTGTTTTTGGCGTGAGCCGTTCCGACTCAAATCCAAAAATTCTGATTCGGCGTTCGCTTCTCAATGCGAGTCACCAGCGATTCGTGCACAGTCCGAATTCCCTCATTTCAAATATGTGTGGATTAGATGCATTGAAGTCTCTAAATTGTCCTGTGTATGAGTAGTTGTTGGCCGACACAGTATATGCCCTGCCGTTGGCTGGCAATCAGCCCAGAGTGGACAGCGATTCTTGCCCAAAGTCAGCAGAGGTAGTTCTCCAGCTCACTTGCAACACTGATGAGAATAAACAGTGAAATCAAAAGATATTTCAAGGAAAGATTAAAAAAAAAAAAAAAAAAGAATCTATGAACCCATTTAATCCCCAATTTTTCCCAGACATTTAAAAGTCAAAATCAGGTGTCATTGACAGCCCTTTTAAGTAATCAGTAATAAAAATGTTTAGAGCCCTGTAAATTAAATCATTGTTGTCCTTCACAAATGCGACCGGTGGGATTAAATGGGTTAATGTCAAAACTGTCAAAAAGATAGAGTGTCTTTCTCAAACTTTTTTTGTTTTAACCTCAGGTTCTCAGTTGCCCCGCTTGATTTGGTGAAGCAGGGTGGGCCACAACTTAAGAGTTGAGTTGATGGAACCTTTTTAGTGTGTGGCGCCTGAAAAGTGCATATTATTGTCCACTAACTTGTCCACATTACAGTTCAGTCAGCGCAGTAACCCAGAGCTGCAAGTTGATTGATGATCCCAGCCACCGCAGGCTCAAAAGGAGCTTTGAAATATGGAACGGGGAAATAAATATCTGGAAGCTCACAACCTGGATGCTGGGAGCCGTCCACGTGCACTGACTGCACTGCGCCCGTGAGGATAGTTCAAAGAGGACTCAAAAATGATCTGGCTTCAAGTTGGAGGTGCACAAGGTCCCTGTAGAGAAAGCCTAGGTTGTGCCAAGCAAGCACAGCGGTAACATTGTCCCCTGCGCAAAATCTTCTGAACTGAGCCTGCTTATTTGGAAGTGCTTCCCTCACAGCAGTGTTGTGTGTGTGTGTGTGTGTGTGTGTGTGTGTGTGTGTGTGTGTGTGTGTGTGTGTGTGTGTGTGTGCGCGCGCGCGCGCGCGGGGGCGGGGGCTTTACTCTCCCCCGGGGCCCCAACATGACTTTTGTGAATTTCACCTGCCTTCCTGCACCATCTGTCCGCCTGGGTAACAGTGCCCCTCGTTGGTCACTAACATGTACTGCGGCCCAGAGCCCCTCTTCAACAGTTCTTGTCAGCTGTTAAAGGGAGGCTAAAGAATGAGTTAGCGTGCCCTGTTGTTTTTTTTTTCCCCATATCTGTCTTTCTTTCTTTCTTTCTCTTGGGATATGCGTATGAGGCATGAATATGGAGCAACAGAGAGCAAGATGTCCAAATCATCAGCTTTGAATCCATTTGAGGAAGCGCACACCCCGGCTGCCTTTTTTTTTTTTTTTTTTTTTTTTTTTTTTTTTGTCAGACAGTAGCAAGGACTTACTTTGCATGCATACTCTAGAAAGGGGAAAGTCTTGGGAGACACATCTTGATCAAGCGATTAATTATTTATCAGGGATTAACTTGAGTCTGGGGGGGTGGGGTATGCCAAATTTGAAATAAATGCATAAGAGACAGATGAATCTCCCTTTTCAGGTTAAGATTGAACATAGCAGTAGTTCTGAGCCCATTTAAGTTCTTCCACAGTGAACAGTACATTTACACTGTTTATGGAAAGCCTGTGTCGTAATTAAATGTATGACTCACTGTAGTTGATGGCTGAGTGCTGGACTCTGCTCCTCTAATAAAAACGCTATTGATTGACTCGTCAGATGTAACCAGTGGCACACACGATTTCTTGTCATATAATAATTCACAGTCGTTAAGACTTCCACTTGAAGGTGCTGTTTTCGAGTTGCTCCCTCGGGTCTGTGCATTCATCTCAGGCGTTTGCAGATTTAGTTTGCACGATATTTTGGTTTGCCTCGAGTAGTTGGGGAAGCAAAATCTTTCCCCATCTCCGTGTTTTTTGTTCCCTTAGAGCGCAAAAGGTGTGGCCATCTCTCTCTCAGTCAGAAGCCACACTCTCGGGAATGACGTTTTTTTGGGAGGTGCGGTTCACGACATGGAGCGATGTGGCTGGAAGCCGGCCGTTACTGTCACTTTTAAAATACAGTACTAACAAACAAGTGGTCTCGAGTCATTTTAACCGCGAGGTATCGCGGTACTCTTCGAGTACTTGTTTGCTGTGCAACCCTCCACATTTTCAAATGAACACTCGTGTAACATTCCTTGGAAATCAAAATTTCACATCACTGGTGAGCTCTTGTGTGAGATCATCATGACATTTGTTTCCCCACACAAAGATCCTCGTATGCGTGTTTGGAGGAGTTTGGTGCGCAAGATTTCGCCTCTCCTTCAGATTCACTCCAAAATGAAGGCCTCAAATTCATTTTTGTCAATTCCTTTTCAGTCCCTTTGCCCCTCAAAAAGCCAAGGCTGCCGTGCTACGACTGCAAATATCAAATAGTGTGCAATTTTGCCCTTCTAATAATGTAATGCTCTACAAGTGTAGCAAAGTTGTCCTGTTGTAGGACTGTCATACAGTCGTGGAAAATGTCCGACGAGTAAGATTAGTTGTTCGACGACTGCGCTGACTTGGTGATGACAAAGAGAGCACTAGTACCTGGACTCGAGGATATTGAATACCTTTTGGTCAAACCTCAAAAAGCTTTTCGTAGTCGACGCTTTTTGGCAGGTTTGAATCATGTGATGCATTCGTTCGTCCTTCGCTGCAGGAGATCCCATTCTACCACATCTGGAACGGTTCCCAACGGTACCTGCACTGCACCTTCACTCTGGAGCGCCTCAGCCTTGGCACCTGTGAGCTCACCTGCCAGCTGTGCGTGTGGCAGGTGGAGGGCGAAGGACAGAGCTTCAGCCTAGACTTTAACATCGCCAAGGTAAGACTGAGGAGCTTATCCAACCCCGTTTTGGACAATTTGTCCGTTCGCGGTTGTGCAGTTTTTCATGAAGGCCGATTGTTGTTGTTGTCACAAGCAGGACACCCGAGCCGTGGATTCCGAGTTCCTGTTAATGGACACGAGCGCCACCGCCCTCGCAGGGCCCAGCGCCTTTCAGATCCCATACCTCATAAGGCAAAAGATTTGCAGCAGCCTGGACACCCCGTGTCCCAAGGGAGCCGACTGGAGAATGCTGGCACAAAGACTCAAGCTCGAGAGGTACGTGAGAACAAAGTGTTCCATAATCATTCATCTGCGCAGCACAGTGGAACAAACGGCCTCGCAAATAATTCACTGCAACCGCATTTATACTCCGTGAGTGGAGCGCTTGCATCACAATACTTACTCTTTTAATAAACAGCAAGTCGCTCCAACAATGTACTGAAAATCACAGCGCTCCACCCCGAACAAAAAGAGTCTCGCGTAGCGCCAAGACTGACCTGCGAGAGACAGCGTGCTGCCACACGGCAACGGTCGTCAAAAAAGTAGTACAAAATGAAGCTCGGAGAACCGCTGGCCTATCTGGTAACGACTTTACGAACTGTCATTTTTATTGTGGTTGAATGACTCGAGTCCGTGGCGCAGCCCAACTCTGTAAATAGGACGAGTTACAGATTTACCATTGGCGGCGCCAACCGTTTTCCAGGCAGATCAAGCGGGGAAACACACTTTAAACACACAGGATAGTCTTTCAGAGACATCAGTGTTTTCTGACTTCAATGTGAATGCTTCTACCCCAAAACTTTTTCTGAAAGGGATGTTCACTCGCATTCACCATGTACAATTCAATGTTTAAAAATTGTGAAATTCAGTTAGCATTTAAAAAAAAAATGTTAACAGACTTGTTTATTATTTATTTAATCCACAATTTGTTTCAGATGAATCACTGGCTGTGCCCATAATCATTTACTTCTTCCTTCCTCCCTACATGCAGCTTTGAAACTGCTGGGTCCAAAGAAAACCAAATTGGGTGAAATAATAGGATTTGAACCTCAATTCCTGTGTACAAAGTCAGCGGTGATACTCACTGAGGCGTCCAGTCGCTACCAGAATGTTGCATTAAACTTACTTCAACTTGGGGTGTACACTAACTGTCCAAAATGGTGACCAGCTCCAGGTCTTAAACCCACCCAAATCCAATCTTCAACCCAATCTGCTGAGTAGAAATAATTAACCCAACTTTGGGTGAAAGTAACCCAATCTTCTTAAAATCCATCATGAGTGAGTTAGGGAAAGCAACCCCGAAATGTGTGTGTGTGTGTGTGTGTGTGTGTGTGTGTGTGTGTGTGTGTGTGTGTGTAGTGTATAACTGGGTGTGGGGTGTGGGGGGGGGGGCTGTGCGCTGTGTTCAAAGAAGAGAAAATTTGGGTTTCGGAATGGTTTTATTTTCTAACCCGTGTCCATAAAATGACATGAGACTGGTGTTTTACTAGGACGGTTTTCACTGGCTCTCATCGGCCGCATCCAGAGTGAGACTGCAGAAAACGAAAAAATAGCAAAATGGACAAATGAAAAAAAACATACCTGTGTACATGAAATGACATGAGACTGGTGCTTTACTCGGCCGGTCTTGCAGGCCCTCTTGGGGATCCTAAACAATATAAAGTGGTTGCGCGCAAATCAGCGTTAGCAACATTAGCTTAATCTGTCGACGGAGACTGGCTCCAAACGTCACCCGGCCCAAAATCATCCAGGCTATCTTCAACAAAGTGTTCGTAACCACAGCGTATTCTTGCACTAGGCGCGGGTATTGGGTAGAGCCGAGTACGTGTCTACATTAAATCACAACAACAATAATAGAAGTGAAATTAATAGTGTATTGTAACCTGTTACTAGTGGACGATCCTGTTCACCCAAAAATGGCTCGAACGTGCTATTAATTAATTATGTCATTGTCGTCTTATAATTACGGTACAACAGAGCAATCTCAGACAGTGGACTGCAGACAATAAATAGTCTCAAAATGACATTAGTTAGGAAAAAAAAAGTCTTGATTCACACAAAATTAGAACATTGCGCTTTGCAAAACTGCTCTGTGGAGGAAAAACAATATCTACCGGTATATGTTTCGAACCTTGCATGAGCACTCTGGTGGGTAGGGAGTGATTCCGAACACAGCTCGCCGTTCATTGCAATATGTAGCTGGAAAACTTGATTTGAGCAGTTTAGACATGAAAGACTTTTTTTCTTCAGGTAGGCTGCCAAATGTATCCAACTTTTCTCTGTCGGTACGACATTCTCCTTTCGAATGCTGAGGGCAGGGGAAGGTTACGTGCAAACAATCCATCAGCAGCAAATCTAGAAAACAAGCTGCGACGTGTTCTTTTTTATGTTGCACAATTGGCATATTTGAAAAGAAGTTAGAGCAATTGATCCCTTTTTACACAAATTTAATTTCTACCCGCCTAATGAAACCCAATAGGTAAAGTTAATTTTTCCGATCAACTTTATTTGCCACAATTAATCCCCGGGTGAATTGATGTGGCACAGGCTTAATTAGCAGTGCTGTGCTCAGCAGAATCAATTGTCAATTAGGCCTGAAGACGGGAAGACAACAACCTCTCCGGCTAGTTGCATCCGTCCTCAACTGCACGTGGTACCAACGAGTCAAACACAGCAGCTTCTAATTTTTCTCTCCTGCCATTTTCTCATGGGATACATCGATCAATTTTCTACTATTGCAGTCCACAACAACATTATGGCCACGTGTACGATATAATGATATTCAATACAATCGAGGGTCTTGACAAACATAACAATGTTCGCTTGTCAGACAGGTGTTAATTTGCTCAAGTAGTTTGCAGCGATGTCGAACTGCGGTAGCTGTCTCATATTTTGACCTCAATTACGAGCATGACAGTCAAAAATGTTGCATGCGGCTAATTACGAGCCCGATAATAAACATAATTATCGCTGGCAGTGTCGATTCAACCTGAGCATTATTGCCTTTGTAAAGCCAATTCTGATCACGTTGCGTTGGACATCATTGTCTTGACGTCATTTTGTAGCCAGTGTTTATGGAACAATGATTGTTTGATATTTCTCATTCCACTTCCTTTGGGAGATTATAAGTAGTCGATATGACAAACTATCAATAAAAGATATGAAAAATTAAATAACAGCATGCGGCTTGCTCACAAATTTCCAAGCGTGTTATTGTGCTCTTTGTTCTTCAGAACAGCAAACGCCGCAAAGGAATGGACTGTTTGTGACCTTTGTCAAGGTCAAAAGTATTTGGTGGCGCGTTGACCTCCCGGCGCACCGCCTCAGTGGTTTGAGTGTTTTGAGTGCGTTGCGTGTTCTCCTTGAGAGTTCAGGCCGTCAACGGCAGCCGAACAGAAAAAGAGCATTCCATCGAATCAGTGTGTGCAAGTACATTGGGGACATCAAATACAGAGCCGACTGAGACGGCCACTTTGTTGTCATTGATTGGGCTTGATGGCCAAAAGGTCGGGCGCCTAAAATGGGAAAAGGTCACTTCCGACTGTGTCAACTGTCAGAAGTCCGTATCGGATTGACTGAATGGGATGTCGGACCTATTTCAACATCAAATCAAGACGAATGAGGCTTTTGCTTTGAAGCGGCTGTTGGGCATCAAATGAAAATGGCTTTTTAGTTGAGTATTATGGAGGAGCCTCTTCCGACTTGGCTGTAAAAAAAAAAAAAGTGCCACGTGCCGCAACTGAATGTTAACTGAATAACTAAACCATACACATTGATATATATTTTTTTCCCTGTAAGGAAAAATATCTTTCTGCAATGTTGCACTTTATAAAACCATCGAGTGATCACATCATGAAACAGAATGTAAAGAAACAATTTGTTTGTCATGGTTCAAATGTGGCAATCCCGTTCAATGTGTAGTAAAGTGCAGTGGAGGAACAACGAAAGAAGAGTCGAAAAAAAAAAAAAAAGATAAGATGCACAGCAGTTAAAATGCAATGGGTGTGCTGAGCAATGAAACTGAAAGAAGAATCACATTTGTCTTCTGCTAGTCATTTATTTTTGGGTTGTTGTTTCAAGGTATATCTAGAGTTGCTAACGGAATAAGTACTACATTTTGAAATCAATGAATAATCATGTTTCTGAAAAGAATGGTATTTCCTATTTTTTCCCATAATCACCCAGCCGAACGGCATCACCGAGCCGCCTGATGACACTTGTCCGTTAGTGTAATGGGTTAAAAGATAAACATTGTATGCCTGCCTCCTTTAACTGACAAGCGTGTCCAAAATATGAATCGTGTTTGCGCTCACCGATTCATGCCAAGTGTTCTTTGTGTAACTGTTGTGCGTGCAGACACATGAGCTTCTTGGCGTCCAAAGCGAGCCCGACCTCGGCCATCCTGGACCTGTGGGAGGCGCAACATTTCCACGGCGGCAACATCAACCAGCTGGCTGCCGTCATGGCGGACATCGGCAAGCAGGAAGCCATGATCTTCCTGGTGTCGGACGGCGAGTGCTAACAGGCCGAGGTGAAACGAGCAGGGTGCAAGAATTCCATATCGACCATCGCAGCTGTCTGTTTTACATCGATCAATGTCGGAGGGCCCCGTTTTCACGCTTTCCACTGAGAGAATCATATTCAGGCAGCTCGGTTGAAAAGTTAGCATTTCCCTCCAAACACCTGCCCAAATTTTTCTCTTACATAATTTCATGGAGCGCTTAATGTACGCCGATCATACACAGCCAATCATTTCATTCCATTGAAAACTGTCATCAGGAAAGTCCTTTGACCATTTTCTCAATATGCTTGATATCCATTTTAAGGTCCGTCACTATTAAGACAATTCACTCCAGCAGTTTTCTTTACACAACTGCCATTTTTGGTGCACGAGTAAAGCAAAATTGTGCACTTCAAGCACATCTCTTGAAGCGCGAGATGTTAACTAGCCAAATTTCCTAATGTTGTCATGCATGACTTCTGTCCTCGGACGTTTCTGTACCATTTTTGGCATTTCTGCGATCCATGACAACCTTTTGGCATACTCGTGGGGCAGCTACATCCCAGCAGGAAGGCAAAACTCTACACTAGTTACGTGGTCCCCCGTGGTGGGTGGGCTGCTTAACGGCTGTGCCTGCCTGATTGGTAACGTTCTTTTGGAACATATGCACTCTGTTCTGATTTTCTTTTTTTTTTATTCCTCAAACATATCTGTGAAGCCCGGTACCAAATGTACCGGTTGTGCTGACACTTGTACTGCACTGGTTGGGACCCACTGCACTAGTTGACAACCGCATGCAACTAGTACGACTGGGGTCATTATAAAATGTTACCAGTCAACATTGAACACGTCACTAGTAGTGGAAAAAGGCATTACTAGTAAGTTAGCTTAATTGATTTTATTATCATTCTATAGCTACAGCCCAATCCCAGCGGATTCTGTAGCTAGCTGACACGTGCTAGCAGCTGATTTACGAAAGAGGCACCGTTTCATTTTTAGGCACAAGAAGCATCACCTTTTTTTAAGGTTTTGTTCAGTGGCAGTTATATTGTTATATATTCTTCCCAAAGAGAATAGTTTTTCTTTTTTAACTGTTAGATTTTTTGATTTACAAGCATTCACTTGTAAAATGTCACTGGAGATGCATGAAGGGTTGACTTTCAAGGGGCTTCACTTTCAAGAGGCGCTCTCTCCAAGTTTTGAATGGCGTCGTCATTCTCATTAGCCTTTTCTTTTGGCTGAAAGGGACAAGATTGGAAATTTTGGGAATGAAATCTCGTGCGAGTGAGGACAAAAACCTTAAGTGGATATCAAGGTTATCAGCGATTTAAAGCAGGCGCTCTCTGCAATTAGGATGGAAGGTTCGCCGGAGGACCGCCGTCACCCTCGCATCCATTTTGCGTCAGTGTTTCATGTGTGTTCTTTCCAGGGAGGTCTCATTCATTTCTTCACTTTAGTTCACACGCCATTGCTAATGAAGGCGCCGTGGGGCCCCGAAACACTTGGGAAGCAACACGTCGTCACCGTCCTAAGTGACGTGTCCTCTAATTGCTTTAATGGTGAAGCGCACGGGCGGGATGTTTGTTGACCACCTAACGTGCAGCGGCTAACGTCTACTTAAGGGCCCGTTTTTTAAAAAAATTGTTTTGTTTTGCTCTGTTTATGGAGTGCTTTTTCTGAAGCCATGTTTGGTGCGCTTTGCTATCACCCCCCCCGCCCCCACTCCGTAGCACATCCTCCCAGTTGCCGCGTACACGGAGAACATCCGCAGGTTCAATCCCCAGTTCAGCCATAGTGTGTGTGCGCGTGTGTGCGTGCTCCTCCTCAGGGTTGCATGTGATGTCTATAAAGTTGTCAGGAGAGACCCCCCGCCCGCCCTCCCTCATTAAAGACACACTCAACTGCCGTATGCTCCGAAGCCCTTCAACACACCGGAGCTTCTTTTTACGATTGTCCTGATTTTAAGAATGTACTTTTATGTTTCCACGCGCTTTTTTGCGAAGAGGACGCTTTTGTTTTTTTAATGCGCCATCGTAACACTATTCCGACACGGCTACTGCAGCTCTCCTTCCGACCTAGGACTATTAGGGCCACACCCCATCGAAAACAAAGAAACATTCCCACAGCGATGCAATCATAACAGTAAAAGAACCAAGTTTTTGCTACAATGTGTGACAAAAGTCTAAACACTCGTGTTATTAGAATAAAGGCAGACTTTGAGAAAATATGAAATCAGAGTGCGACAGGAATATTTTTTCCCCCCAGAACAGTCAGAATGTTATGTAGAAAAATGTTGGAAATCGTGTATCATAGTGCAGGAAAAGACACAACACCAAGAAATTAATCACAAATAAAATTGCGACTTTTTCTCCTCTTAATTCCGGAAGCGCATTGCTTGTCACTCCAGAAAAGGACGTGATACATTTCAGGATTTAATGGGATAGCTTTCACATGATAACATCTTTCTCACGTTATAAGGCAATCATTTTCTCGTTTTAATGTGCAAGCACATCGCGTTAAAGTGGAACAAAGACTTCAATGTTGCACAAAACAAAACAGAGCAAACCTTTCCAGTTCTTGTCAACGTTACTAGCTAGGTTATTCTAAGATACTGTTTTATATATATATATATATATATATATATATATATATAAAATATAAAGGCCAGGTGTTTAAAAACAATTGACATTTACAAAAGATAGGCCTAGCTACAAAGGGCTCCGCCACTGATCTGAGCCAGAAGGAATTGCTTTGTTTTGTTTAGCCTAATCTTGCCATAACTTCTACCGTTAAAATGTGCAGTGCATCACATTGTAACGTAAAATTCACCGTGTTAACTCGTCAAACATATCATGTTCATCCTGTGAAATTTATACTCCCTTTGAATTGAATTTGCAAATTCAAGATATTTCTGGTTGACACGCATCTGGTGTATCGATCAGCAAGACATTTAGTTTTGAATCAAATTAATTTTTTTTTCATATTTTGATTCTCCTTGTAAAATCAAAAAGTTTTCATGGAATTCCCATAAGTGCATTATTTTCGTAGCTATTTTTTTTTTTTTTTTTAATACCGGAGTATTTTTCCTCCATTGGTAATGGCTTTCATGCTCCTTCGTTCTTTTCCCACCAGACTTTTTTAGTTTGTGTTTTTTTTCTCCAACGACCAGAGAGCGTTTGGTGCAAAGATGTCACCACACCAAGTTGTGCGTGTGTGTGTGTGTGTGTGTGTGTGTGTGTGTGTGTGTGTGTGTGTGTGTGATTTCTAACAGTAGCCTTCAACCCCTCTGACACATAATGTTAATCTCACCAAATAAATCTCGTTAAAAAGGATCACGTCCACCTGTAATATAATACCTTTTCTATCGCAGCCACGTGCTGTCACTTTGCATAGAGTTAAGTGTGCGTGTACGTGTGTGCGCGTACGTGTGAGTGTGAATGTGTGCGTGAGTGAGCTAAATTGGTAACCAAAGTTTTCATTCATTCTTTTCACCCAGATGTTTTTTTTTCTGTGCAGCGAGCATCCACATCTTTGTTTCAGCAGTCAAGTTGACCTTGTGCGTGTGTGTGTTTGTGCAATGACTTTGTAAAGAAATGTAAAATATATTTTAATATGAAGCCAAATAATGATAACAATAACATAAAAAAATAATAAAATATGACACATAAGTTGCGCGGCATTTGTCAAGTCTAAACCGTGACGTGTTTGCCTATTTAACTGTTGTTTGGCGATCTAGCAGTGAAGACTTTCTGCAGTGTTCTAAGGCTTTAGGGGGGGCTCTTTATGGGAAGCTTCAGTGTTCTCTTGTTTGTCTCTCATCACTTGCGTATGTATGGACTTACGACTGGCAGCATTTCAATACGAGCTGCAACGAGTCAATCACCGAGCAGAGATGGCGGGAGGAAGACGTGGCCTTGTTTGAGGAGCCACGCCGGCTGTTCGTTCGGTCCAAGTGTGTGTGTGTGTGTGTGTGTGTGTGTGTGTGTGTGTGTGTGTGTGTGTGTGTGTGTGTGTGAGAGAGGGAGAGAGAGAAAGAGAGAGAGAGAGAGAGAGAGAGAGAGAGAGAGAGAGAGAGAGAGAGAGAGAGAGAGCGCTAGCGCCGGAGCGAATGCGTCTCAGTGCGAGAGTTTGAGAGTGTCCATGTGTGATAGTTTTGTAAGCGCGCGTGATAGTGTGAGTGCGCATCTTTATTAGAGTGAGCGAGTGCATTTGTGGACGCGCATGACGAAAAGTGCGCGCATTCGTGAGTAAACAAATGTGAAAGTGCGTGTGTTATATCGTGTATGCGAGTGAGAGTGCGTTGAATTCTGTGCGAACAGTGTACGAAGGTGATAGCGTGTGCGCGCGTGGGATGGCTTGACCGCGTGAGTCTTCGTGAGAGTGCGCGTGTGCGTGTGAAAGCGTGTCTGTATAAGCGTAAGTGTTGCGGCCGTAGGTGTGCGTGCGCGTCCCACTAATGTAATTCACGGGTTGCCGGTTTATCCAGCGTTTGCTTACATCACAACTGTACATTTTGTATCACTCATTCCTATTTGACGTCAAGTGGCGAGTGCGTGCGCATTACATGCCATGTTGCTCCAAATGTTTTCTCCAAATAGACTTTTGTACTTGTGAACCGTTTCTGTTCTTGAGTCAATGTTTTTTGCCTTTCTGCATTCAAAAATGCTGTACTTACGACACGCCACTGCGCTTATGCAATTGTATAATCCCAATTTGGTTTGAGTTTGTTTCATTTGGTTCTACCTTTTTGCGTTTTTACTGTCGGTGTACATTGTTGTGGAGACTTTTTTGTGGCAAAGAAAAACTTCAGCAAAGGATGATTTTCTGTACTTTTGGGATAATGATGGATTTGTTGGTAGAATTTTGGAAATTCGTTTCTAAGTGCTTTCAAGTATTTACTTGGCCTTATGTATATATATATATCGATCTATGACATTTCAGAAAGTTATGTATAGTAATTGAACCTGAAAACTCTGTAAATAAATTATATATTGTTAATTCAAGGACTAGGTGTTTTACTTGCAGCTGGGGTTGTCATGGTGACAGAAAATAGGTAAAGACAAAGTTGAAGAAATCGGGATTATTTGATAGTTTAACTCACTAAGTGGCAGCCATTTTCAGACGGTGCTTTACACGTGAAGACATTTTAAAGATAGGTATGCTGTATATAAATAAGTACCTGTGATTGAAAGTCTGGACTCTGAAAAGACAAAAATACGTCCATGCGATTGAATGAAGTAACTAGCACACGCATTGCAAGATCACGACAACAAAGATGTTTATTCAATCAATCCGGCAGTTATTTAAAACAACGCATTTTCTGAAGCAATATAAATACATATTCAAAAGCCTGTAGGTTTAGAAAAAAAATAACTGCAGGATGAGAGTTTGTAATAAATTCTAATATTCTATCTTTGGGCACATAAAATACTGTCTTAAAAAAAACTTACTGTTGTCTGACAAAACTAAATGGTTATTATGTTATGTCTATAATACAATTTTTTCTCAGAGTCTCTTAAGTCCAATTGCAAAGTTTTTTTTTTCCAACAAATTTGCAACAATCCTAAACCAAACTTCCCATTAAAAGTTTCTGGAAATTAAAATGAGTCCAAATGCAAAAAAAAAAAAAATAAAAAAATACAATAATAATGATTTTAAAAAACAATGTCAACAGGTTGACGTGAAGGTAAACAAGATAATGGCATGTTTGAACAGGTCAACCCAGTCCAGTTGAGTGACAGGCTGAATATTTAGTATAAGAGGCACAACGGAGCGTTAAGCTTCGACCATCCAGATGAACACAGGCTTGCGTGTGATTTGAGGTTCGACATCAAGATTTGAGAAGAGGATGACTCACACCGGGGCAAAGGCGTGGCCTTTGCAGAGGGGCTTGTCCTTCTTGGAGTAAAACGTCTTCCCCTCCAGGTTGATTTGGCACAGCTTCACACATGCAGAAAACAAAAAGGAGGGAAGGGCCAAACTATCACAACCTGATGAACAGAAAATATACTTGCTGCGCTCCTTTCTTTCGTTTTTCCTGCTTCAAGAATCCTATAATATTTGTGTTGTTTCTATGCTTTGATGTTCATTTCGTGGTACAAAGGCCTATTATTGTAGTTAATGAATGAAAACCACAAAAATTGAAAGAACAGTCTCGTTCACGAAATAAAAAATAAGTAAAATAAACGTATTACGTGAAACTTCATTTTACATTGGTAAAATGATAATTATAGCGAAAATGTCTGTAGATTAATATTAAACATGAGTTTTTAGTGGGTCATTAGAAATGTATTTATGTCGGTTTTGCTGTAAATGCATATCTACAGAAGAAGGAAGGTTAGTTCATTGAGAATTGTAGTTGATAGGACCTTAGTACACATTATTTGGTGACCTTTTTTTTTACTAAAACTAATACGATTAAAAAATTCTATTAAGGCATGTTTGGAATAATACAAACTAATAAAAATCAACAAATGCGCTAAAAACTCATTTTGGCTAACTGAATATATATACACATACATTACATGCTGTACACACACACACACACACACACACACACACACACACACACATTTGGGTTCATTTGCCACGATCTAGACTCGACATTTGAGAGCAGTGGTTCTTAACCTTGTTAGAGGTACCGAACCCAACCAGTTCATATGCACGTTCACTTAACCCTTCATTCGTGAAAAATAAAAATGTTTATTTTTTACAAATTCAAGACATAAAAAAACGCATTTATTAAAAACAGAAAAACAAAACACTAAATACAATTTCAAGACATAAGTATCCTTTTTTTTGTTGTTGTTATACACAAAATGAACCAGCCAGTGATGGCCAAGTGGGCATGTCATAACTAATTGACACGTTGAGTCAGGTGTGTCTTAACCTCCATGTTAGAGGCTCCGTCGAACCCCTGAGACCGAGTCACAGAACCCCTGGGGTTCGATCGAACCCAGGTTAAGAACCACACCAATAACACCAAAGCATTTTAGTATAACAAATCCGATTTAACGTAATTCGGATTATTTGATCATTTGGGTCCATTTAAAAATGCATGGGAAGAGGACCTTGCAAAAAACGATTCACAATATTGAGTAAAAGAAATTGCAATTATTTTTCAGAATTGTTCAGCTCTTGTACCAAATGTTTGTTGAGCGTTGAATGTGTTACAATTTGGGGAGCCACAGAGGAAAAGGTTCCACTCCAAGTGCCTGTCTGATGTTTTCTCGGCGTCGGCGGTGCAAGAGAAGACATGAAAGGGAGAGACTCACAGCGCAGACGAAGCACGTATCGTGCCAGCTGTAGCCCAGGGCCTCCAGGAAACGATCCCCGGCGTCAATCTTGAAGTCGCAGCCATGACATTTGGTGCCGAACATCTTCTCGTAATCTGGAAAGACAAAGCCCTGAAAACGGTGCTCTCTAAAGGGGACAGATTGCGCAAAATTGATTTTGAATGTCTCGTATAAAAATAGGCCGGCATCTGGAGCGCTTGCACTCATCAGGTGGGGAAAACAAACCTTTGTTCCCTTTTCTGAATATCTGTCAGGGAGCAAGCATAATTTACATAATGACTCCACCCATGACATGATCTGGTGTGACGAGGGAAGATCCGGAGCCACTTTCAAACAGCGGCCAGTCTACATCGTCTGAAACTATCATGCAGAAACAACCCCCAACTGATGTGATGCCCCTGTTTATAATGTCAAAGCCAAAAGGTAAGCACAGCTGCATTGAATGAAGTTGTTGAAGCAGTGGAGGGAAATGTGTGTGTTTGTGTAGAAGCCATGGGAAGGAAAGTCAGACTCAGCATATACAAGTCCCTCGCGAGCATGAAACAGAGCCACCCTCTCAAAGCAGGCTAATTTCAGTGAAACAGACACTCTTGATCCTTTAAGTACTTTAGGGATCGAATGATCAACTGATATTAGCTTTTATGAAATCATCAGATTATTTTTTTTTGTTTCTAAATCTGTTATCGGAATTGTATTCTGACAAATATTGGACTCAGCATCAGCCTGAAAAAAATCCATATTGGCCGTGCCCCAGTAAAATTGCTCATTAATAAAGGCTAATTACCGCAATGCCATTTGTAAACATGTTATAAGTGTTGATCCTGGGGGTATTTTATGTGTTGACAAAAACATGGAAAATGCATTTCTCAAACACTTGGGAATGCTATTAAAACTGTGACCAAAATTTAAAAAAAAATTATATATATATTACAACATGGGTGTCAAACATGGCCCGCGGGCCGGAACCGTCCCCCAAGGATGTGCGATCAGGCCCGCAGGATCATTTAAAAGTGAAAAAATGCATAAAAGACATGGAATAGATATTTTAATTAGGTGCAATTCATGGAGTATCCGCTAGGGGACACACTGTTTTGATCAGAGTAGAAGACAACATTGTTTTGATCAGAGAAGAAGACAACAGCCGGCCTCAGTCTTTCACTGAGACAGACCCAACACAGCAGACGCTGTCACGGTCATGTGAATACTTTCTTCTTTACACATTTAATCGCACTCTCCTTAGTGTGTAAGGTGTAGGCAGGGATTAAATTTTGATTTTATATGCACATGTGTAAATGGTTTAAAAATTCTTTTCTTTATGAATCTCATTTAATCTTAAAATGCATTACTATATTTTTCAATACCAATTGTTTAAGTTTTGTGCCTTTGTACATACAAGCAGTAGGATCAGTTGCAATGCATATATGTAAATGATAAAAGTAAATTGCACATTTGTCTAAGGAAAAATAAGGTGCTTCATGAAATGTTTTGTAAAAGATATTTTCATTAAATTTCAACATTTTCCTAATGTTCTTGTGCTTCTTTCGACCAAAACAAAGGAAAGACATATTATTTTGGTTATTTATAGCAGAGTATGGTATAATTTTAATGGTCCGGCCCACTTGACATCTACCGAGGCCGTACGTGGCCCACAATGTGAAATTAGTTTGACACCCCTGTATTATAACATGGCATTACATGCCAAATACAAGGTCCCACTTAGTGTTGAAAAAAAAACCCAACAATATGTATTTAGCATTATGTGTGAATCCTGAAATGTGTCAAAAGGCCAAGAGGGCAGAATACTTTTGCCAGCAATATATATATATATATATGACTTAATATTAGGCCTTTATTCTGGTAATACTATGACGAGTAAATGTGTGACTATTCTTGTTAAATCCAGATTTCCATCCATCCATCGATTTTTCTGATCCGCTTATCCTTACAAGGGTCGTGGGGCGTGCTGGAGCCTATCCCAGCTGTCTTAGGGCAGTAGGTGGGAGGACACCCTGAATTGGTTGCCAGCCCCAAAAAGTTTTTGGTATGTGATTTTACAATTTTTTTTTTTTTTAACATTAACTTTTTTCACGATTTAAATGTTGGCTCAATTATTTAATCATCAACAGCGTGAGCTTAGCAAAGGTAAAAAAGTAGATATTATTGATGTAAAATTCCTTAACTATTGTAAAACTTGCACTTGCAGCTTTTTTTATGTCTAACATAATTTATTCAGTAGCAGGGGCGTCACTAGGTTTCAAGAACAAGGGGGGCTTAGCCCCAAGGGGAACACAGCCCCTTTAGGGGGGTCCGGGGGCATGCCCCCCCGGGAGAATTTTTTTCTACATTCTGTTAAAAATCCATCAATTCCGTGCACTTTGAGAGCAAAATGAAGAGGCTATGAAGAACTACACACATCACATTAGTATCCTCTTTACTATGATGGGGCTTCCTCCCCTGGACTTTAACTGGACTAGATAATAGAAATTATAAAGAGTTCAAAAGTTCAATCTTGGTTGTTCAAGGGAATTAGAAGGATGCCCGATAACATAACCTATATGACAGTAGGCCTATATTCCTCTCTACCAAAATGTATTAATATATGCTTAGCCCCCAGAAGACTATGTATTTTGAGATGTCTGCCGTGATATGCAATTTAAGTTAGTACAATGAGATGCAAAAGCTTCATCACTTTGGAAAAACACAAGTTT